ATGGACAGTGGTCAAGACGGCTACATCAGTGATCCAGAAGGAAAAGCAACAGAAACTCAACTGAAAGAAAGCAACTTTAGTCTTGTCTGATAAGTGCTGCATGCGTTCCACAGCCCATGCCAATAAATTCTGGATGAACTACCAGATCTTAGCTCCATGATACAAGTATGTAGACAGCAGCTGGCTACTAGTAGCTGCGGCTCCCTGAATACCTTGTAAAATGGCAAATGCACTGTTAAAGTTATAGAGATTTTTTTATTATAAGACCCCCGAAAATCCACAAATACATGTATGAGAGAAAGTTCACTCGCAATACTGATGAGCATCTATGCAGAGGATTCAATTAGTTTGGAACTTGCTGCAACCCCTGTCCAGGTTGTCATTGAGGATTCTGTCTGAAGACTTATTGAGGTGAACAGTCTGTCAAGGTTGAGCGAGGTGACACTAGAGCAAGTGATTCTAGCCAAAAAGGACTGCAACTTTCCTCTGCAACTGAAGGAATCAAAACCCATGACGAATGAGAAATCGAGTTTTACCAAGTCAGTGAAGATGCAGATGGCAGTTGTAGGAGTGCCTTGTTGTGACCTTCGAATTTTCACCAATGCCACAGCGATGTGCTCATAGTACAAAAATGTACATGTTTCATTCATTGAGGCATTTTTGAAACCATTGAGGATTCTCCAATTTCATAAAGGTCAATGTTTTTCATAAAGGTCAATGTTTTACCATATAGCCCAGGGTTTGCAATTTTTATCAAGACACCTCGCACAAATTTTATTTGGCAAAACTAGTTAATTGGTCTTGTCATAAATGTGATTGCTCTAGTTCAAAGAGCAAAAGTGCATGTACATGTTATTAAAATTATATTTTTGACATTAAAATTTTTGTCAACAAATTGCAGACTTTTTAGTCATCTTTAAAAATCTAAACTTTTCTATGAATAGTTAGTGCAATTTTAGGTGAAATACATTTATCTACTAAGCAATTTGTTATCTACTGAGCTAAATGTGTCATTAAGAATAGGAGCAACTTAACATGTATCTGTACAAGGATTGGATGTATTTCATCAAGTTTGGTTTTCCAACTTCAGAGACTGAATGTTAACTGTTATACGGCAGTCCACATTTTGGATAGAATTCCACATACAGACGTCACTTGAGACCCTGTATACAACTTTGAGAGTGGTCTGAGCATTTCTGCTTTCTTACTAAATTCTTCAATGTTTTCCCTGCTATATTTGACTTTGTACGACATGTTATCGCTTTCTGATGGCTGGTAGGTCATTGCAAGAAAAAATTATTGACGTCCCTATATGGAATTCTTTCCTACATGTTCTTGTTATGTTTATTTAGTAGAAGGATTTTTTAAACAACATTTTAAGGTTTCCTTCCACTCTTGAGTTTTAATTTATTGCATTGTACTAGACTGGGGCAAGCATTATTTGTGTGTAACTTAAAGAAATTGCCTGAAAAAAAGTACAATTCACATTTCACAAGTTAATTAAAACCACTGCTTTAATATCTCATAAAAAAACCCACATTGTAATGTTAAATTAGCAGTTATATTAATATCACTTGTGTTGTAAACATTTTTTTGAGAAGTATACAATGTATACAATTGTGCTTTTCAAAATAGCATGTATGTACACAAGTTAACCATGCTCAACCTGTAACACTATAACAGCATTTCATGAGATTACACAAACATTTGAACAAAATGAACTAAAGGTGCACCATTCTAAATTTTGTGCAAACTATGTGGCATATGTGAACCTTGGTCACTGTTTTTCTAGTGTTCTGATGGTCCCCATGAATATCCTGATATCTGTTTGACAAAGGTGGGGGACAGGGGTGGGGGCGGAGGCACTGGAGGATGGGACATTTGGTGAATTGGGTGGGGGATGAGGGGGGGAAGTGTGCAGTTTAAACTTGTGATTGACTCCTAACACGACTCTCTGTAAAATTTACATGAATCTGCCAAAGATTAAAGACGACAATGCTTTGCTGGAGATCCAGAAACTTTACTGTGTAATACAACTTCTCCTGATACAGTTTTGTAGTGGTACATGATGTCAGGCACAGATTGACTACAATAAAATAGAAAATAAAATGTATGTATTTGTTACAAGAAATTACCCAGTGTTTGTGTAACCTTATTCCAACAGAATTAGCTCATTACATATCACTTACATGTTCCAAACACATGCACACACATGCACACACATGTCCAAAGCAATGTTTATGTAAATTTGTAGGCCCCTACAATGTACATGTACATGGAGTGAGTGTATCAACTATGACCTAAATCCAGTGTCAGTCCAACAATTTGCATTTATACTAGCTACTCCACATTTAAAAAATACTGATGTCTAAATGCAAGAAGGGTTTATGTACACCCTGTATAAATCTCGACCTGCAGTACATGTGCTTTTAACAGGTTCCACAATACCGTGACTATGCAACCAACAAATGCGTTGAAAATGCAACTTTTAGGCTTATAAAACGGTACTAAATATCACACTAATCACTAAATAATTTATAGAAATTGTTTAACAGTAAACAGCGGGATTATTGCTTTGGGCGAAGAATTTAACACACAAGTTGCAAACTCTACAACGCTAAAGCTATGTTGCTATGGAGCACTTGGTTATTGTCTCTCTGGTACAGTGCCCTCACTACTAGGCAAAAAGAAGAAATCTGAGTTTGGCCGCTACATTACATGTATCTAGCACTGCATGTATCTTTTTACCGGTAAATTTAATATTTTTTACAAATATCTGCAGAATAAAATGTAGCACCTCTTTTAGTTTCTGTGTGCGGAAGTTGAACAGTTACAATTTACATGTAGAACTGCAAATGTGACATGGCCCTAGACTTGGAGTGACAACAAAGACTAAAGTAGGGCCTACATGTACATGTGTACATGTACATGTACATGTACATGTACATGTACATGTACATGTAAGCTACACAGACAAAAAAACTAGGCCTACTTCATTTAGTGAGGGCCAAATATTGTAGCATAGCAGCGCACTTTTTGAACGCTTTCTGTAGGTTAGGGGTACCTCCTTTCCAAGAAAATGTCACTGTTTTCCCATTTAACGGTCGCACATGCTACTGCAACAGACTCAACCAGCTGATGAGGCTGCATTGGTCTGCTCCCACTGAGAAAATGAGGCATACATGTAGTAGTAAGTTGTAGTTTCCGCTTCATGATTGCTTCTCGGCAGGATCTTGTTTCATCACAGGCTTCCCTTCCATTTTATTAGAATTGTCCTGAAACCAAAATTTGAGAGTTACAACTTAATCATCATGTTGACATCCTGTTCGGATTACTACCATTAATTACCCTTGTACCCTGTGCAACCAGTGGAACCAAAGAGAACTGATATAAACTGCTGATTTTGTTTAAGTAAATCCAATTCATTTTTCCCTTCATTTTCTCTGCTTCCAAACACACAATGCATGATATTTTCTGTGGGTCACTAAAATAATGCAATGTGCACACAGCAGTTCCCAGTTTATTTGGGGTTCACTGAGTATTTCAGGCTAAACAGTTAACTAACCATGTCAATGGCGTATTTGAGAAGCGGTTCGACTGGTGGCAGCGCAATCCACAGATAGCATCACGATCACCCGATCGCAGTCAACATTAATACTAGTGCTAGGGGCCTTTTGCGTTTGTAAAAATTGTTGCATAAAGATACTTAAAAAAATCAACTGGAACTGAAAAATAATGGGTAAAAAGTCTCTTTTATTAGAATTGTGAATACAATTTTAGAGTCGCGGAAGTCGTTTGATCTTTATAGCAGCAAAATGCTCAAAAAATAAACAAGACATATGGACCATGCCCGTCCGGGGAAAGAATTCCTTAGTCTACCTCCATGTCTAGATGTCTAGATGGACGTTACTTCACACCCTGTTACAAACCAGTATGGTCTGAAAAATTATGTGTTTTCTCACTAAATATTTCAATATTTTCCATGCTAAATATCACTTTTTAGGACATGTTCACCGCTTTCTGGGGGCTACTACTAGTACTAAGACATTGCAGGGAAAAACAAGTGGCGTACGTATATGGAATTCTTTCCAGTCTGACCACCGTAGTCATGGCGCAGTGCCACGCCGCGCCATCCCAGCCAAGTACATGTGGCCAAACCCGGCCGGCATTGGCATACCGTTCGTACATAGCTCCATGATCTGACGTACAGACATGACGGAATGCAATGGTAAACTAAACAAAGTCAACGTTTTTCATCATAAAAATTAAACTGCATTCCAGGCTTACCTTTCGCATAGACTTCTTTCTGGCTTTGGAGGTCGTCGACGAAAAATCACTACATTTTTACCTTCCGTTTTTTTCTACGTGTATAGCGTGAAGCGATGCAAGGTGTCCGCCATTTTGGATGCCGCGGTAAACATTATGTCGTACTGTACTGCATGGTACATGGTGGGCGCGTACTGCTGCTGGACACCCTGGGAATGATGTTCGTTTATTTCTGAGTTCTTCGTTTATTTTTGAGTTGTTCGTTTATTTCTGAGTTCGTATATATTTCTGAGTTGATCGCTTATTTCTGAGTTGATCGTTTAATTCTGATTTGATGGTTTTTTTCTGCGTTGATGGTTTATTTTTGAGTTGTTCGTTTATTTCTGAGTTGTTCGTTTATTTCTGAGTTGTTCGTTTAATATTTCTGAGTTGTACGTTTATTTCTGAGTTGTTCGTTTATTTTTGAGTTGTTCGTTTATTTCTGAGTTGTTCGTTTATTTCTGAGTTGTTCGTTTATTTCTGAGTTGTTCGTTTATTTCTGAGTTGTTCGTTTATTTCTGAGTTATATTTGTTTATTCCTGAATTGTTTGTTTATTTCTGAATTGTTCGTTTATTTATGATTTGTTCGTTTATTTCTGAGTTATATTCGTTTATTTCTGAGTTGTTCATTTATTTCTGTGTGTTTTCATTTATTTTTGTAGTTTTGTTTTATTTTTGTTTTTGTCTTTTTTGCCCTAATGTCCGCCCATAACCGGACGGGAAAACTGGAAATTTATTGCAAACAAAATGTGGTGTGATTACAGCCAGTGACTGACACAATAAGCATATAGGTTTGCCTTGGCCTAGTGCGTTCGCTACCCGTACACGTATAAACAATTATTTTGAAATTCAAACACCGTTTACCGGTGTCAAAATCTACGGTCCCCGCGGCCGGGCCAGCGGCACAAGTAGACCCGTGAATTTCCAGCCTAGCTGTACAAAGCGCGCGTGTCACGATCGATCGATACATGTAACAGACGTTTCTTACTATGGTCGGTCGTTAGGGCAAACACAAAAAAATGATCCCCGATCTATAAATAAAATGCTGTGTAACTATCAAAACACTGAATAATCAATTGAAACTACCAAAAAGTCAATGGAGATATCTTCCTATAAAATTCTGAACTTGCCCATTAGAATTTACGGGTAAAAGCTGTTGCCAACTACGGTTGAATTTATGGAGCATGTGGCTGCCCATACAACATGTCGCCCAGTGTAGATGTAAACAAAGATGTCGTTGCGCGGAGTGATTTGCAAAAAGTTTCGCTGGAACTACGTGCATTGGGAGTCCTGTTTATTACGTCGCGATTTACTATGTTTTGTTTGATGCCCCCAACGACGACTTTTACACAAATTGCACGTTCGGGTCGAAACAGGACCTGAAAAACAGCTCTCAAAAGTACCTTTTGTATTCATTTTATGACAGAAACACTAGTAGTCGTTTTTATTTCATCACACCTTAGCAGTGGCGTCACCAGACTTTTCAGTCTGTGGGGGCACAGGGGGGGGGGGGCACCAGCATTTGATGGGGGGGGGGCACTTAGGTGGATACGGATCGCCGTCCTGGGGGAGGGGTCTAAGGCATACGGAGGATGGGCTAGATGCAAAATGGTGCCACATTTGATGCTAAATTCGATCTGAAGATATCTCCAGAAATTGCTATTTTTGAGGTAATGATTTTAACAACGCGCAGAATTTTGCAGAGGATAGGGGGGCACCAGCATTTGATGGGGGGGGCACTTAGGTGGATACGGATCGCCGTCCTGGGGGAGGGGTCTAAGGGGAGGGGTACCCCCCTGCCCTTTGGAAAATTTTCGCATACGGAGGATGGGCTAGATGCAAAATGGTGCCACATTTGATGCTAAATTCGATCTGAAGATATCTCCAGAAATTGCTATTTTTGAGGTAATGATTTTAACAACGCGCAGAATTTTGCAAAGGATAGGGGGGGCACCAGCATTTGATGGGGGGGGGGCACTCGGGGGGGGGGGGGCACTAGGTTTTCCAGGGGGGCACGTGCCCCCCCCCCCCCCCCCCTTGGCGACGCCACTGCACCTTAGGCTACATATACCCGAAAAATGACGGAAATGTCTTCGAGCATTCCACAACCTCTTTAAAAAGGATTGGGAAATATCTCTCTGTGCTTTATCAAAATTTAAGCCCTTCATAAAATTCACCTTTTGTTTTATTTTCCGTTGTGCGGCTTCATCTCTCCATCTTTCCTCATCCTGGATCTTCTTGAATCCCGCTACGCACTGCGTGTACCACTTGTGACCAATGAAGGTCCTGGGTTTAGCTGCCTCAACCAGCTCCAAGCAGCGCTTGTAATACACCTTGGTCTTGGTCTTGGAGAACAAGATCTTCTCATTGATTAGGCCGAGATAACTTAGGGCGGCTGCTTCTTGCTCCAAATTTAGTTCGGATGCCTGAAGTGTTGGGTAAAATGACAGTTGTAACAAACATTTATACAATTTGTTGTTGTGAGGTTATTTTCCCTGGACCAGGGTGAAATCACAATCCGGTGTGCTAGCTATTGTTTTTTGCCTAGAAAGGCGTGCACGCAAGACCTAATTGGTTAGTGTGTATTACAATATCTGTTGTGAGAGATAGAGTCGAACATGTGCTTTAGGAAAGGTATTAATTTTTGGTATTATTCTATGGCCCACTGACCATGCTACGTACGCAACCTCGTCTCCAGAGCTTAGCTTACTTAGTAAGCCCTGTAATTAGTAGGTAATTGATTTATATCTTGCACTTGGTGTTGTTATTTCACCTGTATTACGTATGTTTACGTTCTTTGTACTTTTTATGTCCAAAACTTCTCAAAGATAATTATTTTCTTTCCAATTTTTTCATATTTATATGAAATGTTATGCATGCATATTGGTTGGATATTTGATTTTTACATTTTAACTTTGAACAAAAAGTCGTGTTTTCGTAACTCACGCCGCGAAGAATATATTCTGTTTCTACCCTAGACAATACGAAAACAAACGCTGATGCAAAACACAGGCAGGCACCAGACTATTCCTCATTTGCAAACGTTTCCAATTTTTTTGGGATTGCAAATGATCCAATACCAGGGTGAGAGAGCAGGTAGTGGTGGGAGCGTACTGTTTTAAACCCTGGGAACGAGGTTTTTCGGCTCTGTACGTATCCTTGTTAGCAGTATCTCTTTTCAAATATTTCTGAATTCGACCTGAGGGTATAGTCTGAGTACAAACATTAAACGTGGGCAAGCCACGGATTAACGTTTAATCAAAATGTTTTTATGTGATTTTATCTGGAGTGGTTTTAAGAGGCTGTGACATCATTTCGATCAGGAATGTGGACTATGCAGTGGACTAGTCAATTCGGATGCCATGGTTTATTTCTAATACAACAATATGGAAGACCCGACAGAAGGCGCCCGATGAATCTCGAGGAATAATGAAGACACGGTCTTTTTTTTTACAGAATTAATCTTCGTATCTGTTCGCATATTACAGGACCTTGCTGTGTAAGTAGATATTCCATAGACTAAAATAAGGGCGGCTTTTCATGGATCAAATTAAAAATTCACGAAATGCTTCCCAAACAGTCCTTTTTACTCGTTAAATACTTCGAATAATAGATAACAACTTGGGTGTACACTCTATAAGGATCATTCAATGATATTTGTTTCTTTTAGTTACTCCCCTACGTACCTTGAGAGTAGCTTGTTTGAACCAGTCCATCGCATTAAAGAGCGTGTCCATGTTCAAAACCTCCTCGTCCAACAGATGTGCAAGCATTGCCTCTCCATTTTCCCGAGCCTGCACGGATTCTGCTGTGCAGATTTGGAACTGCGCATCCTGCTGAATGATCTCCAGGTCCACGCGAAGCTCATCCGCTTCAAGATCCTGCTCAGCAAGCTCCCCTTTCCGTAGAATACTGAGAGCCTCTTCAACAGGTTGGTGGATGTCGTGGAGAAATCCGAGGCTTTTTTTATATTCACCTTTTTCAAGCAGACGAACCGACTCCTTGAAGAGAACATCAGCAATATGATACCTGACCAATGCAGAGAGCACCTCACCATCGGGCAACAGCTTAAGAACCTTGTACATCTCTCTAAGCTTCTCCTTTGGGTCATCAAAGGTACCGATAACCTCCAAGATCTCGAAGTAAGAAGCCTTGATCTCCTCTTGCAGCTTGCTGCTCCAAGCGTCACCCAGCAGAGAAGCACCTCGGACCAAAGCCTGGCCGAGGTATTTCAGGGCCTCTCGGAATGTTATGAGAGTCTTCGCAAATCCTGTGTCCTGTTTGTCTTTCATGTACTCTTGGGCCATCCTCTTTGTAGCCATTCCGAGATTCTTGGTTGCTGAGGACCACTCACTCACCATTCTTGGCCCAGTGGCTTCAGATGCGGCCCTGGCATATAGGTTAATTGCTGACTGAAGTCTAGAACACTTGATGACAGGAGACAAGCCCTCTTCAAGTGCCGCCTTGTATTTAACATTGCCTGCCTTCCGCAACTCCTCCGACATCATGAATGGAAAATTCCTGTTGATGTTTGAGGAGCATAATAATAATAATTTAAAGATAGTATATCTTCAAGAGTCTTTTCAAATACATCCTGGTCAAGTGTACATTCTCAATTAACTCCTCATCACCCTGTTCACCCGCTTCTGTTTTGCGGTTCCTTGTTTGTGTAAACTGTACATGTAGTAGAGACATTTGCTAAACCCAACTCTGGGCACTGTCCTTTTCAGATCTTTATGGCAATGTTCTGATTAAATAAACTCGCGGGGTTGCGATGGAGTTACGCAAACACAATTCAAGGGACACTGTGTCCTGGAACAGCCCAAATGAGCTACAAAACGAGCTTTGAACGAAATGATGTTAATCGGCGCGGAAAAAAAAACATTTAAAAGTACGATATAAAACATCCACACAACTATCGTTGGGCGTTTTTGTGTTATTCCTGTATTATGCATGCCAGAACGACTTTCGGGGTCCACTTTTGCGACCCCAAAAAGGCGAGCTGTTTGGATGCTATAGTTGTGATTTCATCCGTAAAGTGTTCGCCTTTTGCGGACGTTTAAGAAACCACATTTTGTGCATTGGTGATTGGTCACCGCTCAGTTCGCAAGCACGGTGCTGTATGCATATGTTATACATTGTACATGTACATGTATTCGTACATAATACATGTATATGATGTATTAGACACGCATAACGTGCATCGTACTGTAAAGTGTGCGTATGATATGCACGTAGTGTTTACATGTAGTTAAGCCACGCCCCTTATTATATATACGCAACCCTTGACCGGCACCACACTGCCGAGTTCTCACACAGGTACGTTGTCAACTTTTGAAGCTCGTTTTTGAGTTGAAATATCATTTGTTTGCAAACTGCACGCTACCCAATATTGCATTAGGATTTGTCCGCTAGTGTTCATAGATAATACTGGAGGCATTAAAGTAAAGTTTTGATAAGATATAAATGTAGGTTTGGGGCTCCAAAGTGTGAGCTCGTTGTGGAGAGTTTAGCAAACATTGTGCGTGTAGTATAGGCATACACGCGTTCACGTGCAAAATGTGACAGCGTGGTGCGCGCACGCGTGATATTCCCATGTATTTGTGTATAACGTCACGTACGTATTTATGTTCATGTATAATTTAACATGGGTCTTATTGCGCATTGTCAGATTCCAGTTTACATTTAGGGAATAATAACGCACAAGTAAATAATGGCTCTTCCTGTTCATTGAGGACTGGTGTGTATGAAAGTGGTTGATAGTGTGTATGAATGTGCCTGGCCAGCATGTGTAAATGTGAGCCTGCTCCTTTATGTTCAGCATTGCCTGAGGTAATTCTTATTTCGTGCGAGGATTTAATTTAATTTGGGGAAATAGATCTACATGTACACGTTTATTGTAATTTTATACCTGTATAACACTGACATGTACGTGCTGTTTGTAATTTGTATTCTTTGTATTTTTACCACACTGCCGAATTCTCACACAGTGAGAATGGGCAGCTGGGCTGGCAGGTTGGCAAGAATAAATCGGCAGTCATTGAGGCAAGGAAGCTAACTATTCTCAAAGCGTCACCTGTTCACTAGGACCTGCGTGCCCGTGTTGCCCTCCCAATCACCCATTTAGCCAGACCCAGAGCTCTTCACCAGTCAGTTACAACCCACACTAGTATTACCTCATCACCCAACCCCACCCCGTCCAGAGGGATCTCTACAGTACATTGACTGAAAACGACAGGAAATACGTAGGCCTATTCGTACTCCGTCGTGTCCGAGATAAATAACCGAAGTATTTTCGTCTTTTCTCGGAAACTGTAAGACATAAAGTTGGGTAGTATAGGGTAAACGAAAACACACCGAGAAAGATTCGTCTATAGCATTTACGTTAGTGGAGTTAATGTCGCGTTGTGCCCAAGAGTAAAGCTGGTCAGAAATCAGATTTGTTAACTCATCTGTTCGAAACTACAGCGGATGTGTTTCCGATGGGACCGTACTGCCCAATATATCAAATTTGGAATTATACTGGAATTTCCAGGAACGTTTCGCAATACATTAAACGGGAATACCCTAATTACTTTTTAGGCCTCAATTATAGCTATAATTATGATTGCAGGGTAAAATGTCCGGTTTACGGCCTGAATCACAATGTTGCACAAAGGTCGAGCAGACTATTTACCTTTTTTATTTTTGTCATCGTTGGGCGCCATTTTGTATGTGCTGCCACATGGGAATTAATTTAACCCTTTGTTGGCAACAAATCGTACAAAATCAGTGCATTATTAACAGCCTCCTATAATTTATAAGAAAGGAGAGTTTAATAAGGTCGTCGGTAGGCTAGTGTTTATTGGTGATTTGGCATTTTCAACAATTTAACGATACGTTTGGTAACATTTATAAATGTTTTTGCGACGTTGACCTTCCATTGTTTGCCAACCCGTGGTTATACATGTAGTATTGGTCCACGATATACAAATAATGAATGTTTGTGAGTGCGAGGTGACAGATTGAATGTTCCATTCTACGAGGCGAAGCCGAGTTTAATAGATTCAACATTCCAACTGTCACTGAATGAAACTATTCTTTCCATTGCACGAAATGTGAAACATTCATTATTAATTTGTTTTATATAACACCTGAAAAAAATCCTTATCATTTAATTGCTTGATTTGTAAACTGATGTTTACAAAGTCATCAATATCCGATCCACTGATAAAAACCGGTGGTTCTGCTTCAATAGCCAATAGCCTTTGAAGTAGATGCAGTTACAAACTTAAGTCAAAACATATTGTTATTGTTTTGACTTTTAAACCTTTGCTAACTTGAACTTTGAACTAGCTGGGGAAAAAGTGGATGCCAGAATTTTATTTTGTAAATTCTTCTTTATTCTTATATTTGTATCAGTCCTCCAATCGATGACAAAGATCTGCTTGGATGCTATATAAAGCAAAATATTGAATGTTTTGCTTTCGTGCAATGGTGAGAATATGTTCATTTGTTGAAAGACGTAAGGTAATTCCACTCAACTCGGCTTTGCCTCATTGAATGGAACACTCCATCCTTCAACTCATGAAAATATTTTAACCATTGCACTCATACACATTCATATTTGTATAATAGTGGATCGTGCATTATGTAACGGTATGATTAGATAAGCGCGCCTGTTTGCACTTATGTCTTGGGAATCCTGTAGTCATTCCCAGACCAAATGATTCTGACTGTTTCTGATGAATGATAGAGGGCGATGGGCGGAGAGAGAGAGCGGTCGCGTTTTTATCGACTCCAGTTCAATCCGGGTGAATCGCGGAAATTGTGCCTAATCCTAAAGCAATCTATATTTATTTTGATCTACACAATCATCACTTGGTCTGCCATTTGGACTCCAAAATGTAGAGTATCAATGACTAATTGCTGGATACCGGCCCCCCATATGGCTCTTCGCTTACCATCGTGTTTTTCCTCCAACTGTACCAGCATCTGAATACACTTGGACATGTAAACCTGGTAGGCCTATTCCTGCAAACCGATTGCTACCAAATCGTCACTTCTCAAGTTCAAGTGAATCCTGCTGCAGCAAATTCAAACCCAACCATCTCTGCACCGTTTTGGCACTTCTGCTTTCTGGGGACATTTATCCCAATCCCGGACGCGAATTTTGTTGTCCCAAACGACATCCGCATACATGTTTGTTTAGCGCCCTCTACGATACTTTTTTGATACGCACGCAGGCAAATAATTATTTGTTTCCCCGTTTTGGCGAGCAGTGCGACAGCTCAGTCGATAGAGGGTAGGATTTTGCACCGCGAGGTTGCGGGATCAAATCTCAGTTTTGCACCCGATATTTTTTTCCTTTTCTAACGTTAGGCTTTGGAGGATTTTTTTTAAGGGAAATAAAGTCCGAATTTCATAACGTTCAAATTCACTTATTTTTTCAAATTTTATATTTTCTTCTCATGTTTTTATAAAAGTTAAGTCCAAAACGCCATAAGGTACACCCATGTGGAAGTCGTTTGGGAGAAAAAAATTCGCATCCCGGACCTCGTGAAAAATACGCCAGTATTTACCCCTGTGGTGTATGTGAGTACCCAGTAACTTGGAATTGTACACTCTTAACACTTTGGGCAAAATATGTTGACATGTAGACCAACGTTGGTCAACATATCAACAGGTAAAACTGTTGGGCAAATTCTGGAGGGGGTGTTTTTATACTGTTTCATTGGAACTTGATCTCAATTGAACAACCGGAACTTGTTGCAAACTGTGAGTTAGAATGGGTCAAGGTTTAACTCCAAAATAGCAGGGAACTACTGATCGGATATTTCTATATGCCTTGTTGAAATGCCAGTGACATGAACGCAGCAGATCGTTAAAAAAAAAATTACAAACGGTATCAGGTAAGCATATCATCCTCGCAGAAGATTTCAACTGCCCCAACATTGATTGGGACAATTGCACTGTCAACCCAAGAAGCAGTGACACGCACATACAACAAAACTTAGGTCCTCATATTATGTAAATTCTGATCTGATACTGCAACCTTTGCATAGGGGCCCGCAAAAAAACGAACCCTCGATTTCCGCAGCAGGCCCTGGCAGTATAGTATAACGTAAATGAAAAAAAACACACAGAGAAAGATTCGTCTATATCACTTACGTTAGTGGAGTTTATGTCGCGTTGTGCCCAACAGTAAAACTAGTCAGAAACCAGATTTGTTAACTTATCCGTTCGAAACTGCAGCGGATGTGTTTTCCGATGGGACCGAACTGCCGAATATATCAAATTTGGAATTATACGGAAATTTCCAGGAACGTTTCGCAATACATGAAACGGGAATACCCTAATTACTTTTTAGGCCTCAATTATAGCTATAATAATGATTGCAGGGTGAAAGATCAGGTTTACGGCCTGAATCACAATGTTGCACAAAGGTCGAGTAGACTATTTACCTTTCTATTTTTGTCATCGTTGGGCGCTATTTTGTATGTGCTGCACATGGAAATTAATTTAACCCTTTGTTT